AGTAGTTTGTGGCAATTTGTTATGGCAGCTCTAGAAAACTAATACAGATTTTGGTACCAGGAAGTGGGTGCTACTGTAATAAAGACCTCAAATTGTGGAAGTGACTTTGGAACTGAGTAACAAATAGAGGTTGGATGGTTTTTGAGGTACTTGAGAGAAAAATCGTAGACTTTCTTGAAGAGACTGTTAGTGGAGTTATGGATTTTAAAGGCAATTCTGGTGAGGGAACAGAAGGAAGTGAAGAGCATGGTAGAGAATTCTTCCATCATCTTAGAAATGTATATCTCATCATGAGCAGAATGTCAGTAGAAATATGGATATTAAAGGTGGTTTATGTTGAAGGCTAAGAAGGAAATGAGGAACCTGTTATTGGAAACTGAAGGCAAAGTGATCCTTGTGACACAGTGGCAAAGAATTTGGATGAATTGTGTCCTTAGGTGGATAGCAGAATTTGCAGGCAATGAACTTGGATATTTAGCTGAGGAGATTTCTAAGCGAAGTGTGGAAGGTGCGGCCTGGTTTCTTCGTTCTGTTTGTAATAAAATACAAAAGGAAAGAAGTAAATTGAGGAAGCAGCTGTTAAGCAAAAAGAAACAACACTTGATGATTGAGAGTTTATTGGCCTATTCAGATTGCAAAAGATGCTAAAATTGGGAAATTCACTGTTGGGAAAGTATACTCTGGATAGAGGGTGTGCCTAGACAATATTGCGCTGAAGAGATCTGCTATACAACTGATGGATCCCTCAATTATCTCACAGATCCAAGGATAGATCCAGGGTTATCCAGGAAAGATCTGTGGGGGTTCTTTTATCTAATGGCATGGATTCCTGTGACATACATGGGAGCCTCAAAAGTTCTTGAGCAGGTTGTACCAGAAGAAACACTGTCAGCTTGGCCTGAAGGGACTGAGACAGGACAAAGTGAAAGACAGGCTGTTAGATATGCACAATTCTTCAGGCAAGAAGAGGACTGATAGAACTACTCAGGTATCAGCATGCGCTGCCTTGCAAGAAAAAGGAAGAATGACTCTGAGGACAGGGTCATGGGCACAGGGGTAGAGGCTGAATGTTCAAGAGTAGAGACCTACCGAGCTGCCATGAACAAAGAGACCTGTGAAGACATGGGCCCAAAAGACACAGCTTCAAGCCACAGAGGATTATTCCCAGACCTTGAAACCAAATGACTTTGCCTTGCTGGGTTTCTAACTTGCTTGGGATTGATGACCCTTTTATTCCTTCTATTTTCTCTGCTTTGCAGTGAGATTGTTTATCATATACATGGCCCACCTTTGTGTTTTGGAAGCAGGTAACTTGTTTTCTAGTCTCACCAGTCAATAGATGCAGAGGAATATGGCCCTTTCCTAGCTCATCCCCATAGAGTCACCTACACCTGAGTATTAGATTATTTGTATGTGAATATTTGAGACTCTTTGAACTAATTTTTATGATATTTAGATGAGAGTTAAGACCTTTGGAGATGTTGAGATGGAATGAATGTATTTTGCACATGAGGCAGATGTGAATTTGGAAGGCCAGAGGTTGGACTGCAGTAGGTTAAATGGCAGACCCCAAAAAGACATGTTAACATTCGAACCAGGGATTAGAACCTGGGAACATGGCCTATGTGGAAAAAGGTTCTTTAGAGATGTAACCAAGTTCAGGCTCTCGCTGGAAGAGGCAAAAAAGTCTTCTCCCCCAGAGCCTTTGGATGGAGTATAGCCCTGTCAACACCTTCATTTTGTATATCTGGCCTCCAGAAATGTGAGAAAATAAATTTCTGTTGTTTCAAAGCATCCAGTTTTTGATCGTGTGTTACAGTACCCCTAGGAAACTGATACAGAGGCCAAGCAAAAGTGCCAAATCAAGCAAAATCCCACGGTGTGTTCCTTCCAGTTATCCCAAAATATAACAATCCCAAAGCAGTGGCTTAGAACAATAACAATCGTTTATTTTGCCCACACATTTGGGTGTCATCTGGGCTTAGCTAGGCATACCTCACTCAGGGTCTCTCAGTGGTGGTAACCAGATGGTGGCTGGAACTGGAGCCACCTTGAAGGTGTCATCCCTCATACGTCTGGTACCTGGACTAGTAAGACTCAAACAGCCAGGGGCTGGGGCAGCTGGGGCCCCTTAGTCATCTCTTTCCCCCTCTATGTGATTCTCACATGATCTTTCTACATGGCAGCTGCATTCTCTTATAGAAGCTGCCACAAAGATATGCCCAGTCTCAAGGAGAGGAAAAATAGACTCCACCTTTTGATAAGTATATAAAAGAATTTGCAGACAGTACCATTGACTCAGAATTGCAGAGGTGAAGTTCACCCCTCAGAGTTGTCTTGCTAAGTGGGGCAAGGAAGCTGCAATATTTATATTCCAGCTACCATCCGTCATCCACAGTGGTAAGTACTGCCCAGGAGAAGATACATTCTCAGATACTTCCAACTCTCTAGGAGAGCAGGAAATGTAGGAATGGCAGCCTTCGAGGGGGTCCTCTGAGAAATGCAGGCGTCGCTGCTGGAAGGAAAGCACCTGGGGGAGGAAATGCACGCAAGCACAGGACTGTGGGCAGAGCACTGACACGGGTTCCATATAGTGCCAACTTATGTGGAAATGTAGCACATAATGTAGCGGCATCATGATCTGGGGTAATACCTGAGGTCCACAGCCACAGAAAACTAGGATGCGACACACCAGAGTGAGGTTAAGAGCAGAAGTTTAATAGGCAAACGAAAGAGAAGAGCTCTCTGTGCAGAGAAAGGGGTCCCAGAGAAAATGGGTTGCCAGTTCTGCAGTAAAATGCACAGGGTTTTATGGATGAGCTTGAGGAAGCAGTGTCTGATTTACATAGGGAATGAAAGATTGGTTGGACCGGGTGTGCCATTTGCACAGTGCATGAAGAAGCTAGCCTCCCACCCTAATCTTTGATTATGCAGATGGCTTCTCTACCTCGCTGATGCCCTGTTGCCTGTTCCTTCACTGTACACGTGGTGAAAAAGAAAATGGAAGACGGAGTCTCCATGTTGAACATACCTGGTTTCCAGGTAGCCCTTTTCTATTGGCACAACTGCCAGCATTCTCCTATGCGCTTCCAGCTTGCTTATCTATGTTTCCAGCTCAATTTTTCAGGCTGCTCTTTGTCAGTAAAGAAATAATTTTGGGGTTGCTTTTTGTTCAGAAAGAAGCTCTGCTGAGGACTCTCTTACCCTCACTATCTGCCTAAATAATTGCTTTTTAACTCCTGTATCAATATCACTGGTACCATTTCAGAGTACTGGGGAAAGTCAGGGTTACTCAAATAAATGGCACTCAAAAAATCGTTATTCCTTTAGAAAAAAACATAATTAAGTCCCTTAACTCTCATTATACAAAAATGTAGTTTCCAGAATAAAGAGCTAATTGCAAATAACAACAAACTGCTGCATGAATGGTTGGAAATCACAGATGTGGTGAAGAAGGCCTTTCTAAGCAATATGCAGATCCAGAGACAAAAAGGGAACAGACTGAAGCACTGCATAAAATTTAAAATTAAAGTATGATGAAAGAGCAGAAACCACTAGGTGGAAACTGAGCAAACATAGTTTTCATATAGGAAACAGAAAAATGTAAGATATGCAGAATGTATAGAGTTCCTATAAATCCATAAGAAAGCAAAAATAACCAATAGAAAAATGGATTAAAAATATGAATTGGCGATTCATACAGTCTATAAATGCCACTAAACATATAAGAAGCTGCGCAACCTCATGAGTAACCAGAAGCATCAATAATAAAGGTTAGTGAGGTATCATTTTATCTCCACTAAACTGGCAAATTTTTTTAAAAGATTGATAATATCTATCATGGACTACAGCATGGAAAAACTTTCAAATTATTTTAATTGGTTGAGCCATTTTGGCAGTACTTATCAAAATTAATAATGTGTATAGTCTTTAGATATATTCCATTTTGAAGAAACCAGTCAGAAAAACTCCAACATGCACAGAAAGATATACATAGAAGGAACATCGACAGTTATGGCAGCATTATTTGTAAGAGAGGAAAGGTGGGAACAACATAAGTATTCACCAATAGGTAAATGTTTAAATAAAATGGAACGAGAAATATACATAAATTATTCCATTAAAGTCTTCAGCCATTAAATACGAGATATATTAGGGGAAAAAATGCTGGGGGAAAAAAAAAAAGTAAGTTGTAGAAGAGTATTGTCCCTATGATCTCAATCATATTTAAGAAATCCAATCCAGTTAAGTATGTGTGCGTGCATACTGCTTGCATATGCATTGGAAGGCTCCAAAAGGTTCTGCACCAAACTGCTATAGATTTAATACCTGCAAAGCCTTGGCCTGTGTCTGACAAATAGGAAGTGCTATTTGAGTTGGCTATTTTTGTGTATAATTATGCATTTCTTAATGATAATGCATTCCTGGATTACTTATGTTACTAAACGTAAACGTATTGGCCAGGCGCGGTGGCTCACGCCTCTAATCCCAGCGCTTTGGGAGGCCCAGGCGGGCGGATCACCCGAGGTCGGGAGTTTGAGGCCAGCCTGACCAACATGGAGAAACCCCGTCTCTACTAAAAATACAAAATTAGCCAGGCGTGGTGGCGCACGCCTCTAATCTCAGCTACTCGGGAGGCTGAGGCAGGAGAATCGCTTGCACCCGGGAGGCGGAGGTTGCGGTGAGCCAAGATCGTGCCATTGCACTCCAGCCTGGGCAACAAGAGCGAAACTCCGTCTCAAAAAAAAAAAAAGTAAACGTATTTCAATCATTTTAACACTCTGCGCCCAGCTGATGGCCAAGGGTAAGGCCCGTTCATTACTACTTTCTCCATCCCAAATCCAGCAGAGTGCGTAATGGACACAAGGTAAACAATTCCTGGAAGAATTTTGCGGAATCCCACCCGACCGCGCCCAGCCTCCTCTCAACCAGTGCGCAAGTGCGAGGAGGTGGTGCCCAGTGCTCCACCGCCCCGCCCTCCTCGGAGGCGAAGACGTCACTGAGCGGCGACGCGCACTTTTAGAACGTGTTTGTGACCCGCCTTCCGGAAGGAAGCGGTTAACTATGGCGACCGCCACGGAGCAGTGGGTCCTGGTGGAGATGGTTCAGGCACTCTACGAGGTGGGCTCCGCGCCGTGAGCGGTCCGCGACCACACCCGGGCCTGGGGAGGGTGGGACGGCGCGTGTGGATTTGTGGCCTGGGACCTCGGCGGGACTGGCTCGGTCACGCCCAGACTCGGCGTCTCTTGCTGGAAGGACTGCCGGGAGCTTCTATTCCCAGCGGTTGAGTGTAGGGAGGAACGGGTGGGGGCTGGGACCGAGGGTCTCGGTTTGAGTTCTTATGCTCCGGGTCCCCTGGAGGGTCAGGGAAGGAACATGTGTAAGGGGTCGCAGGAGACAGGTCTGCAAAAACCAGAGTTTAGACGGACGATAAAACGAAGTGGTGAAAATGAGTGGAAAACCTTGGTCTGGGAACGACCTAAGGAAGTCAGTTCTTTGGAACTATGGAACAGTTCGTTGGGGAATAAAATTGTAATAAATTGGAGTTTGTTTTTGTCGAAAAGAAACCAAGTGATTTAGGATCTGTGAATAAGAAATAGTTTGTCATTCTTCTGCGCACGTCAGTTTTCTATCTTATAAAGATACAACTAGTTTAGTAGATATTTATTGAGACGGAATTTCGCTATTGTTGCTCAAGCTGGAGTGCAATGGCGCGATCTCGGCTCACTACAACCTCCGCCTCCCAGGTTCAAGCGATTCTCCTGCCTTAGACTCCCGAGTAGCTAGGACCAGATACCACCACACCCAAGTAATCTTTTTTTTTTTTTTTTAAATAGAGACGGGGTACTTGCTATGTTGCCCAGGCTGGCCTCGAACTCCTGGCCTCAAGCAGTCCTCCTGCTTTGGCCTCTCAAAGTGCTGGGATTACAGGCATGAGCCACCACACCCAGCTGCAACTGAATTTTAAATTTAACTTAAATAGCCCCATGTAACTTAGTGACTGTCCACATTTTACCACACAAGTCTAGATGCTAGGGATACTGCGGTGAACAAATAGGCAAAAGTGCCTGTGCCTATAGAGCTTACATTCATTTCAAGTGCATTTCACGTTACTTTTAATGATTTAGTGTCACCAAACTTCATATCACTGTCTACTGGTAGGGGTAATGATACTGGTAGGGGTAATGATGGTGTCTTCCATTGTAGGACATACTGGAAATTTTATCTTGAAACATAGCAGAGACAGCAGATATGGCTCTGTCTTATGCTCATATATTAAGTGACGCCCAATATTAGATTAATTATAGTGACCTAAAATGAGTCACTAAAATTGAATAATCTTTTTTATAAATGATTTTTTAAAGAAATGGATTATTTTCTGTTAAATGTTGTTTGCTTCCTTTTTGAAGATTGACAGTAGTGTAACTTTTCATTCCCCAAAACTGTCCAGCAGTGAGACTTGGGAGAACTCCTTTATGTAACATTTCCTGGGAAGGAAAAGAAGTGGCGTTTGTGATTTTTATTCACTAGACAAATAGTTTCTCAACTTAGGCGATTTCTTTTTGGAGTGAACTCTTAACTAGTGGCTTGGGTAGATGTTTGCTTGCCAGAATCCAACTATTGAGAAAACTAAAAGGGTATTTAGACATTCATAAATTAATTGTATTTAGGGGGATGAGCAAATTTTAAAATTCATAAAAATAAACTTCTTACTCCCAATTCCTATGCACATTGAATGTAGAATATGAGTATCTTGTATAGTGTACCCAAAAAAGAAATAACCACTGAAATTAAATAATCTGATAGTTGATATTGTTTTAAATATTGGGATTCTGTGTTAGATTTTATTTATTTATTTATTTGAGATGGAGTTTTGCTCCTGTTGCCCAGGCTGGAGTGCAGCGGTATGGTCTTGGCTCACCACAACCTCCACCTCCTGGGTTCAAGCGATTCTCCTGCCTCAGCCTCCCAAGTAGCTGAGATTACAGGCGTGCGCCACCACACCCAGCTAATTTTGTATTTTTAGTAGAGACAGGGTTTCTCCATGTTGGTCAGGCTGGTCTCGAATTTCCTACCTCAGGTAATCTGACCACCTCGGCCTCCCAAAGTGCTGGGATTACAGGTATGAGCCGCTACGCCCGGCCTAGATTTTATTTTTTTAAATTTTATTCCCAAAGAAGTTTTAAAAGCTAAAAATATTAGGGGTTTTTCATGTGAAGGAGAAATCGCCTGCTATTAGAAATGGGGAAAGGAATGAATAGAAATTAAGGGAGCTTCTAAAGTAAATTGTTACGAATAGGCTAAAAGTCATAGGAGGCAGTATATGCAGGTGTAGTAAATTTTATGTGCAGGTGTTAGAAGTGTATGGTTCATTTCTTATTTGTGTTTGACTCACTCTTAGGCTCCTGCTTACCATCTTATTTTGGAAGGGATTCTGATACTCTGGATAATCAGACTTCTTTTCTCTAAGACTTACAAATTACAAGAACGATCTGATCTTACAGTCAAGGTAAGAAATTAAATCTGTTTTAATTATTGAGTATGTGATTATAGTTGCTCTGTCCTTCCAGAAAGGATTTTTGGTGACTCAACTATGTGTGTTAAAGCATTTTCTGTAATGTAAGGAAATCAAGGGGAATGAAATATCAGGGTAGGCAAAATATGGGGAAATCTAGAAATAAAGTCAGTACTCAAATGAAGACCATATTATGTCTTGGGTACTTTGCTAGGAGTAAACAGCAGTCTTGCAAATAGATGGTTAGAAGGAAGCCTGGGCAACTGCTGGAGTTTGAATGTTCATATGAGCGTTGTGTGAGTTGCTGCAGAATAGCACAACTATTTCTGAAGTGTGGGATAAAGTTTCCCCTGTAGTCTTCCTGAAGGAGAGTCAGAGTAGAAAAGAATCCTACTCATACCCACCTCAAATGGAATTTTGATGTGTTGTGTATGGTAAAGAAAAAAAAATTCTGAGCATAGAAGTTAAATTTTCATAAATTGTCAAGTCACCCACAAAACTACATGGAAAAGAGCCTCTAGCTCTAGTGATAAGGAAAGAGGCGCGCGTGGTAAGTGCACAAAACTCACAAGTGATTCTGTTTTTATTCTAGCCGCAACTAGACATGGTATTTCTAGCAGTGTATTCCCTGTGACTTTTGCATTGCAACAGACAATTTTGATACTGCCGAAGTTGATGTAAAGTGACTGCGCCTGAAAAGCTTCAGGGGGTTTGAATAAGGATAGCTATGATAACAAGTGCTATGTGGCTTACAGAGGAATAAGCGATAAGTGATGTTAAGTCAGTTTGGCTTAGACAAATAGAGCCTGTTATAACTATTCCTCATAAGGATAGTATGAGGAAGGGGTAGGATATATATTCTGTTGGGGGCTGAGGACGAGGGTAAGTCATATGATACCGTAGCCGCCTAGTTTTAGTAGTACTGCTGCAAGTACTATTGAGCTGGCAATAGGGACTTCTATGTGGGCTTTAGGGAGTCATAGGTGAAGTCCATGTAGAGGTATTTTTACTATAGAAGCCATAATACATACTAGTCATATAAGGTTGTTAGATCAGGAGTTCAATAGTTCTTAATTAGTAAACATTATTATTAGGATATTTAGTGAACCTGAGCTATTTCAGGTATGGATGAGTGTAATAAGTAGGGAAAGAGATCCTACTAGTGTATAAAATAAATATGAGCTTGCATTGGGCATTCTGGTTGGTTACCTCAGCGGCTAATAACGATTAGGGTAGGGATGACTGTAGCTTTGAAAAGAATGTAAAATATAACTAGTTCTGTGGCTGTAAATGCTGTAATTTAAAAAGTTTGTAGGAAAATTAATTTGGAAATATTGAGTGTTTTTCCATAGGGGTGATTCATTAGACAGGTGATGTTGGCCTACTGGGATTATAAGAGGTAGTAGTCAGGCTGTTTGGATTGGAAGAGGTGATGTTAATGGGTCAGAAGAAAAAGTTAATGAGAAGTTAGATGAATTATTGTTAGGTTGATTAGGGTAATGAGGCTGATGAATAGGCTACGAGTAGCTATATTCAGATTATAGAGTTTTTGGAGAGTCATATTGTAACACTATAGTTGTTGGAATGATAATTTTTGGCATTGGAGTCAATTTAGATTTTGTACATAGTCTAGGCCAGATGCGTTGGAGATGGAGACTGGCAAAGCAAGGCCTACTGCGGCTCTGCAGGCAGCAAATACCAAGAGGATAGTGGGTATGAGGAATCCTAGAGTGAAATGCATGTTTACAGTTACAAGCATATTTATGATAAATATTGACAGTATGATGCCTTCTAGGCATAATCGGGATGATGTTAGGTGGGATCGATAGATTAGTACTCCCAGCAGTGCTACGGTGTATGCTAATACAATGTTAATGTAAATAAATGGCATTTGGTAAATATGGTCTATCATAATCTAATGAGTCGAAATCATTTAATTTAAACTATTTACCAATTTAACTCAATCTAATCCTTTTTTGGGTTCATTCATAAATTAGGCCTAGGATTAGAATGGTAATTAGTAGGAGGGCTGTGCTGATTATTAGGATAAGGTTATTTGTTTGAAGGGCTCATGGCAGGGGTAGTAGTAGGGCGATTTCTAAATCGAATAGGAGAAATGTGATGGCTACTAGGAAGAATTTTATGGAGAAGAGGAGGCAGGTAGAGGTTAATGGATCAAATCCACATTCATAAGGGCTGGATTTTTCTATATAAGTATTAAGTTATGGGAGTCAAAATGTAATTACTACTAATAGAGTTAATAAGGTGTCAGTTATTAGGGCTAGTGCTAGGTTAATTACTCTTTTTCAGACTTTGTCGAAACTAGTCGATTGGAAGTCAGTGGTACTGCTTATACTGAAAGAGTAGTAGGACCCTCATCAGTAGATAGAGACACATAGGAATAGTCATACGACATCTACAGAGTGTCAATATCAGGTGGCGGCTTCAAAGTCAAATGGTGGTTGGATGTAAAATGAATTTTTTTTTTTTGAAACAGAGTTTTGCTCTTGCTGCCCAGGCTGGAGTGCAATGGCGCAATCTCGCCTCACCGCAGCCTCTGCCTCCCAGGTTCAAGCAATTCTCCTGCCTCAGCCTGCCCGAGTAGTTGGAATCATAGGCATGCGCCACCACCACGCCTGGCAAATTTTGTATTTTTATTAGAGACGGGGTTTCTCCATGTTGGTCGGGCTGGTCTCGAACTCCCGACCTCAGGTGATCTGCCCACCTCGGCCTCCCAAAGTGCTGGGATTACAGGCATGAGCCACTATGCCTGGCCTAAAATGAAATTTTAATTGGCAGAGAAGGCAGATGGTGAGAATTGTTGATCCAATAATAATATGAAGTCCATGAAAGCCTGTGGCTGTAAAGAATGTTGAGCTGTAGATTCCATCAGAGATAATAAAGGGGGCCTCGAAATATTCTGAGATTTTAGAAGGGTGAGATAGACTCCTAAGAGGATTGTGGTAAATAGTGCTTGAATTACTTGTTTTTGGTTACCTTCTATTAGGCTGTGATGGGCTCAAGTAATTGGAACTCCTGATGCAAGTAATACAGACGTATTTAGGAGAGGTACTTCTAAAGGGTTCAGGGGAAGAATACCTGTTGGGGGTCAGTGTCCTCCTAATTCTGGGGTTGGTGCTAAACTGGAGTGATAGAATGCCCAGAAAAAACTGGTGAAGAAGAATACTTCTGAGATAATAGGAGCATCCCGTATCAGAGGCCATTTTGGACAACTGCTGTGTGGTGGCCTTGGAATGTACTTTCTCGGACAATATCACGTCATCATTGATATATAGTCAGTGTGTTGGTTAGTAGGCCTAAAGTTTTAACTTTTAAGAGTGGTAGAATTAAAGTAATCCTATGGTTAGGCCAGATGTTATTCGGAGAGCCGAGAGAGCTCCTGTTAGTGGTCAAGGGCTAGGTACAACTATATGGTAGGCATGTGTCTGGTGGGTCATTATGTATTATCATGCAAACAAAGACTTACTAATAATGTGAAGACATAAGCTTGAATAAGAGTGACAGCGAACTTGAGAATAGTTAGTAGAATTAGAATAATAAGAGATAGTGAAGTAGCAGAGACACTAATAATTGATAATATTAGCACTGCACTGTATTTTAATTCTTTTTCTCCTATAGGAAAAAGAAGAACTAATTGAAGAGTGGCAGCCAGAACCTCTTGTTCCTCCTGTCCCGAAAGACCATCCCGCTCTCAACTACAACATCGTTTCAGGGTAAATTGATTTTGCTACCTGAAATACTTGTATTTGGCTTCTTGTAGTAACTTGCAGTATATAGTGCTTTATATGTAGTAGTCCTTTTTTATCTGAAACAAGACGTTTAGAAGTTCCCAGGAGTAACAGCTTTAGCTCCTGATTTTAAAAAATTTATTCTAGGGATGATATAGACATTTTTTAAAATCTCCAATGTAAGCATTAATGCTTGCCCTTTTTTCCAAGAATGTGCACGTGTTAATATTTCAAATGGTCAAACACTTGAAATGAAAAGCAACAGACTCCTGGTTTTTACCCATCTGGTTATTTTCTGATTTTAAATCTGTTACATGTTACCTTCATAATTCTAGATACTATAGTATGCTTAACTACCGTTTGTTGATTCACCAACTACAGACAACACCTGTTGATCCCACAGTATGAATTATGGAGCTTCTGCTCACTTACGCCTCTTCCCTGCTTGCTTCCAGTGTCTCATCTATTTTTCACTTTTCATTCTCTTGGCTATCTTTGCTATATTGTATGTATTTTCATTAGTTAAGAAATATATTAAGAATACAGAAAGTTGATATCAGACACCTATATACCTGCTATCCAGAATTAATAGGTGTTAACAGTTTGCTATTTTTAATTCAAACTTACTTTTACAGATAAATACAATATTACAAATGTATCTTAAGAAATTCCTTTGCCTCCGTCACTTACTCTTGCCTCTCATACAGATAACCACCGTCTTGAAGTTGGTGATTGTCTTTGCTTATATTTATAATTTTACCATATATGCCTGTTGCCATAAAAATATTTAGTTTATTTTAAAATGTGATACGAGATATTTTCCTGAGTATTATTGTTCTGATTCTGATCTGATCACAGAGAAGCTTTTATTCTTCACTTCTGAAGATCTCTTTAGTCTTGTAAAAGTTTTATATATTCTGAAATCAAACCTACCAATCTTTTTTTTTTTTTTTTTTTGAGACAAGAGTCTGGCTCTGTCGCCCAGGCTGCGATCTCGGCTCACTGCAAGCTCCGCCTCCTGGGTTCACGCCATTCTCCTGCCTCAGCCTCCCCAGTAGCTGGGACTACAGGCACACACCGGCACACCTGGCTAATTTTTTGTGTTTTTAGTAGAGACGGAGTTTCACTGTGTTAGCCAGGATGGTCTCGATCTCCCGACCTTGTGATCTGCCCGCCTTGGCCTCCCAAAGTGCTGGGATTACAGATGTGAGCCACCGCACCCGGCCGAAACTTAGCAGTCTTTTAAAATTTGATCTTTTGAGGTCTTAGGGAATCCTTTCCTACCCTAAAGGTCTAATTTGATTGTTTTCCGTATGATGGCCAGTTGTCCCAGCATTATTAGTTGAATAATCTAGTATTTACCTACTGCTTGGAAATTTCCCTTCTTTGGTAAGCCAGATTCCCTTCTAAAGGGTCTGTTTCTGGCTTTTATTTTTATTCATTGGGTATATTTGTATCTCTGTGTACCAGAGACTCATTCATATATACCACAGGTTTATAATAAACGTTGATTAGAGTGTCTTTCTACCTCCATGTTCTTCAGAATTGTCTAGGCTATTCTTGACCCTTCTTCACTGTGAGTTTAGGTTTGGGTGATCATACCTAACCAAAAAAATGCATTTGGGTTTTTTATTAGAAGTGTGTTGAATTTATGGATTAATTTAGGAGGCTTGGTATCTTGCTGATACTTAATCTCACTACCCATTTATATGATATATATTGCTTGCATACTTGGGTCTTTTGTCTTGTATACTTGAGTCTTGCTCTGTCGCCAGGCTGGAGTGCAGTGGCGCAATCTTGGCTCACTGCAACCTCCGCCTCCCGGGTTCAAGCCATTCTTCTGCCTCAACCTCCCGAGTAGCTGGGACTACAGGCACGAGCCACCATGCCCGGCTAATTTTTGTATTTTTGGTAGAGATGGAGTTTCACCATGGTGGCCAGAATGGTCTCGATCTCTTTTTTTTTAATTAAAAGCTTTAATGTCAAAAATACAAAGTTGGGAAGGGCAGAAAAATCACACACAAGACTGTCACTTCACACCTGGAGGGTTGCACAGTAGCCCGGCAGAGGCGCTCCTCACTTCCCAGATGGTGAGGGGGCCGAGCAGAGGTGCTCCTCACTTCCCAGAGGGTGCAGGGGCTGGGCAGAGGCGCTCCTCCCTTACAAACGGTGAGGGGCCCGGGCAGAGGTGCTCCTCATTGCCCAGACAGGGCGGAGGCCAGGCAGAAGGGCTCCTAACTTTGCAGACGGGGCGGTGGCCTGGCAGAGGCGCTCCTCGTTTCCCAGACGTTGAGGGGGCCGGACAGAGACGGTGAGGGGGCCGAGCAGAGGCGCTTCTTACTGCCAAGATGGGACGGCGGCCAGAAAGAGGTGCTCCTCTCTTTCCAGACTGTGAGGCAGCGGGGCAGAGGCGCTCCTCACTGCCCAGACCGGGCGGGGGGCCAGGCAGAGGCGCTCGTCACTGCCCAGACAGGGTGGGGGCCAGGCAGAGGCGCTCCTCACTGCCCAGATGGTGCGGGGACCAGGCAGAGATGCTCCTCAGGTCTTGATCTCTTGACCTCCTGATCCACCGCCTCGGCCTCCCAGAGTGCTGGATTATAGGCGTGAGCCACGGCGCCTGCCCTGCCGTATCTTCTTTCTCCTCCCAAGCGGCTGTTTTCGTCTCCTGGATTTTGATGTTCTACTTAACACCCCCATGTTCTTATCGATGTTGCCCAGCTGGAGGCGTCCTTCCCTTTGGGAAGCCTGACCCAGCTCTAACAGTGCCTCAGGAGATAGGCAGGGAAGCTTAGCAGGTGGGGCCCGCTCGTTTCTATCCCACCTCAGTTGCAGGGGAGGGGTGGGTTGCAGCTGCAGTGGTGGCCCTGACAGCTTTCTTTTGCGGGACCCGTGGCCGGCAGCTCTGGGTGGAAAAGAGCTACTTGATCCAAGAAGGGCTGCAGGATCTTTGAGCTGCATGTCCTTCCCCGCGATCAGCAAGCCTGGAGAGCTGGGCAGGTGGTCTTTACCCAGCACCTTCAAGGCTGCCTTCTCTGGCCACAGGGAGCAGCCCGGAACTGGGGCCGGGAGCACTGCTGGAACTCGGGCAGGGAGCACTGTTGGAGCTGGGTCAGGCTTCCCAAAGGGAAGGACGCCTCCAGCAGGGCTGTGTGAGCTGGAAACTCCATGGCCCTTGGAGTAGAAACTCACTGCATGCACCTGGGCCTTGTCACTCTGGTTCTTTTCTGTCAAGCTCTTGAGGTGGGCATTTCCGTCCAAGGGCCTGGGACTGCACCAGGAGAAAGTGAGGTTTCCCTGAGTCTCCAGGGGCCTAGAGGTGGAGGCTGCTTCCCCATTGCTACAAGGGCCCCTTTTATTGTCCTCCTGCCCCTGCGTCTCTACCTGGTCTTTCACCTCCGTTGCTTCTTTGGGCTCTTCTGCCCTCACCTCTGTCTTCGGGAGCCTGGCTGGGATCACCTGCTCATCTAATGAAGGCAGTCGGAGGTTAAACGTGCGTCTGAGAGGAGGGATCCTCACAGGGCTGGAGTGTCCGAACATCATGGAGTTGCGAGCAGACAGCACGGGTTTCTTCCTTGAGGGGGGGCTCCAGACCACAGGAGGCGGGACCCTCGGTGGGGTGCCCCTGTTCCGAGGGAGAAGACACAGCCTCGTAGGGGCGCCGTCCCACCTGGCTGGAAAGGAAGGCCCAGGATGTCGCTGAGGGTTGAAGAGGAATCGGGAATAGCCCAGGGTTCTCGAGGCAGGCATAGGTGCAGGAGCCGCAGGGTGAGCCCTGCCAGCTGGGAAGGCCTCACGGATAACACGAGCAGGTTGCCAATGGCATGGCGGGGACCTGTGGTGGAACCAGGAACAAAATACGCTGAGACGAGCACGTTGCCGATGGCCTCGCCGGGACCTGCGGCGGAACCAGGAACAAAATATGCTTAGTGAGTTGCCCATTTTGAGCAAGTTGTGCGCGGACGAAACTAGGGATCAGAAGTGGAGAGGATACTCCTAAGTCACCCACTTCTCTGTGGCTGGGTGTGCACTGGGCACCTGGGAGCTTATGACATCACCATGGGGCTGGTGACAGAGCCAGGGTGTGGAGGAGTGCTTAGGAGCCCAGCGAGGGTGCCTACAAGAGGAGTCAAAGGACAAAGGGCGGGGCCCCTCCACCGGTCCAGCTGGACTTTAGCCTCAGGGATGTCCTGCTCCTGGGGGCACATGTGTGGCTCTGGATGGGGCCTGGGGGCTGTTGGGGGTGCGGGGCTGATCCGCCAGAGCCCTTCCCGCCTAGTGCCTGGCCCAGGTGCTGACTGGCACCCAGTGGCCCTGTCTTGGCTGGCCCTGTTCCCCGGGTTACAGTGCCAGAACTTGCTGGAAGCAGGGCGCAGGACCAGCCAGATCTCATCAGGCTCCCCAGGGCCTCTCCATTGCTTCTGTGCCGCCTGGAGCCAGGCCCGCCTTCTCCATGGCTGCCGTGGCCTTGAGGACCTCCAGCCTCGCTGTACAGGTTTCCAAGGAGAGGACACGGTGCCCTGACCTGACTGGATGCTGCCTCTTACCGCATAGCCCCCTGGCAGGCAGGGCCTCCACTTCTTTTTACAAATTTGTCTGAGATCATTACTCAGGTCATTCAGGTGGTCATGGCCCAGCCAGGCTTTGGACCCGAGCTGTGCTATTCCACAGCTGGCACTCTGGCCTGTGTGCCTCATGATCATGGATACAGCACGTATTCTTACTTATTCCTGTAGTCCTGGGGTACTTCGCACCGTGGCATATCTGTAATAAGCACATGCACACCTAGAAGGAGGTCTTCACTTCAACATATAAGTTGACCATGGCCCACTCTGGGCTCCAGTCCTCTACAAAGATGTAGGGCAGGGACTACCAATTAACACAGCACCATCCCACATTGCTCTTCTAATGGAGCCTTTCACCCCAGATGTTCTTTCTTGTCTGATGGGAAGGATCCAAGTATGTAAAGATTATGTTCTAGATCAGCTTTGGTCTATCCTAAAAGAAATTTGCCAGTGGATTATTCCATATAGATAAAACTCAGTTTCTCTGGTCTTCCTGGAATGTGTCTAGAAAACAAATACATTATTTACAAGTTAATAGTAGATCAATATATTGGATTAAAATATGGCGAACATAATTTGGTCATTGTGAGCATGCCAGCTCAGTCAACTATTCACCACATATTATGATGCCCTAAATGTAACTCTAGATTTTCTTATGCCCTAGAGAAGGACATACTCTTGGGTGTCTGGACTAGGGAAACATGTATGAAAAACCATTCAGCCACTCTACATCTTTTTATTGGAGAATTGAAACTGTCTGTATTCAAAGATATTATTAAAAGGCAAGAAGTTAACTTCTGTCATTTTGTTAATTGTTTTCTGGTTGTTTTGTAGATCTTTTGTTTCTTTTATTGTTCGCTTTATGGTTTGGTGAGTTTCTGTACTGATAAACTTTGATTCTTTATTTCATTGACACATCTGGTGTAATTTTTTTCTCTTTGGTTACTCTTCCATTTAAAAATTTATAGTTGTGATAGACTATTTAAAGCTGGTAAGAAGTTTTGATCACACACGAACCTGCTATACTATCCCCACATCCCCTGTCAATGCACAGAATTTGTACTTTTTTGCCTTAATTTATATTGTTCTGTATTGGGCATTTATTAAGAACTCATTGTGGATATAAATATCTTTGACTATTTTGATGTTCACCTTTCTCAAGGGTGATTTGAAAGATTCTAAAGCATCATTTCAGTAATGTAGAATTCTCAATTTGAATGTTAATTTATTTTTAACAGGTTGATAATGTCCTGTGTTTTTGCATTAGTAGTTATTGTTCTTTCACTTGTGATTGAAGCACTCCCTTAAGCATTTCTTGTCAGGCTGGTCTTATGGTGATGAATTCCATAAGCATTTGCTTGTCTGGTAAAGACTTTATTTCTTTAATTTCTGATGGGTAGCTGTGCTAAGTACAGTACTCTTTGCTGACAGATTTCTCATTGGCACTTTGTTTGAATATATCATCCTAATCTCTCCTAGCCTTCAAGGTTTCTGCTGTGAAAACTCCTGATAGTCTAAAGGAGACTTGCTTACTTGGGATTTGATGCTTCTCTCTTGCTAATTTTAGAATTTTTTCTTTGTGTTTGACTTTTGACAAATTGATTATAATGTACCTTAGACAAGGCCTTTTTGGGTTGAATATGTATTAGACCCTTTAAGCTTCATGGAACTGGGTGTCCGTATGTCTCCCAAGAATTGGGAGATTTTCAGCTATTATTTTGTTAAATAAGTTTTCTGTGTCTTTGTCTGTCTCTTCTCTCTGTTTCTCTTCTATATTTCCAAAATCTGTTATCGTAATGTCATGGCACAAGTCTCATAGACTTTCTTTGATTCTTTTTCCTCTTTTTTTCTCCTTTTTTCCCTCAGGCTGGGTTATTTCAAAAGTCCTGTCTGCAAGTTCAGAAATTCTTTCTTTTGTTTGACCTAGTGTGCCGTTGAAGCTCAGTTGTACTGTTTATTTCACTCGTTCAGTTCTTCATTCCTAAGGTTTCTGTTGGTTTGTTTTCTTTAATGATATCTATGTCTTTGTTGAATTTCTCATTCAGGTTATGGCTTTTTTTTTTATTATTTGTTAGGTTTTCTATCTGTATTCTCTTGTATCTCATTGAATTTTCTTAAGATCAATATTTGAAATTCCTTTTAAGGCAGTTTGAAAATTGCCATTTATTTAGGGTAACTTTGTGAAACATTATGCACCTTTGGTGGTGTCGAGTTTCATTGCATTTTCATGTTTCTTGTCTCCTATGTTTATATTTATGATACTGTTGACATGGTCACCTTTTCCAGTTGTATAGAGTAGTTTATGCAGAGAAAGACTTTCACCTGGAGAAGTGTCTTAGGGTGACAGTTGGATGGGCTGCATCTGCTTTAGTTCCGGGAGGACAGAATAATGTAGTATCTGTGCTTTTCTCTTGCCTTTTTTTTTTTCTTTTGCTATTATCCATTTTGGTGATACCTGTGAGTGCCTTGGTGACCTAGGCTGCAGGAGCATGTGCAGTTTGTTTTTCTGCTCAGGACTGGGGGTTGTGGAGGAAGGCGGCAGTCTCAGGAAGCTGCATGCCTAGCTAGTGAGTGTGTTACTGAGTCATAAGGGTTGGTTCACCAGTTTGAAATGGGACTCCCCTGGAAACACTCGCCTGGCTGTGGATTACTGGGGCTGGTCTGCAGGCTTGAGATGGGGATCCTCTGGAAGCAACAGGCCCAGTTGGTAAGCACACCAATGGCATGAGAAATCAGCCCACAGTTAGAGTGTCGCAGTCACTAGGATGTGGAAGGCAAACCTCTTTGAGAGTTTGTTTCTAGGATAGAGAGAGCAGTAGCTGCTTTCCTGGAGAACGCTGTTGTAATGACAGGGTAGCCTCTGTCATTTCAGAGGAGGCAGTGACCACTAGTTCACGGAGCAGAATATACACAGCTATGGCTTGGCTTTCTAGATGGTGCTGCATGTGGGCTCCTTCTCTGGGGCAGTATAGCCCTGTGGACATCAAGCAGCTCCCTAAACTAGGCTGCTAGAGATGGGGTTTCTCTGTGTTGGTCAGGTTGGTCTCAAACTCCTGACCTCTGGTAATCTGCCCGCCTCGGCCTCCCAAAGTGCTGGGATTACAGGCGTGAGCCACCATACCTGGCCTACCTTTTTTTTTTTTTTAAAGAAACTTGCTTATGTTGTTCTTTATTTTCTTCTTGATTTTTTTCCCCCTGGTTTCCTTACAATCATGCATCACTTAATGACGTAGATAGGTTCTGAGAAATGTGTTAGGCAATTCCATTGTCATGCAAACATCATCGAGTAAACTTACACAGACCTAGATGTGTAGTGTGTACCTATAACCTGGTACACCTAGGCTATGTGGTATAGCCTGTTACTCCTAAGTTACAAACTATACAGCATGTTACTCTACTGAATGCTCTAGGCAGTTGTAGCAAACTTGTATTTGTGTATCTAAATATATTTAAGTATAGAGAAGGTACAGTAGGGCCAGGCATGGTGGCTTATGCCTGTGATCTCAGCACTTTGGGAGGCTGAGGTGGGCAGGTCACTTGAGCCCAGGAATTTGAGACCAGCCTGGGCAACATGACAAAACCCCTTCTCTACCAAAGAATCCAAAAAATTAGCTGGGTGTGGTGGTATAGGCCTGTAGTCCCAGCTACTTGGGAGGATGAGGTGGGAGGATGGCTTGAGCCCGGGAGGTGGAGGTTGCAGTGAGACAAGATTGCGCCTCTGTGCTCCATCCTAGGCAACACAGCCAGACCCTGTCCCCCCCCCCCAAAAAAAAAAGTACAGTAAAAATACAGTATTATAATCTTATAGGACTACTGTTGTATATGTGGTCCATTTTGTCAATTGAGATGTCGTTATGTGGCACATGACTGTATATCCATTAATTGTAGGTGATTGAGACTGGCTCTCGGAAAACACATCTACACTCACTGTCCCCAGGCCTGGACTAGCTCCTGTCGTGCCTTTGTGTGGATTAGGGGAGGGTACTCTTCCTCCAGTAAGTGCAGCAGCCTGGTGCAGACCTTGGGCTGTGGTGCCAACACCTGGGTGCCCCTTCTAGGACCCCAGCTCATGCAGCGGCCTTGCACTGCCCTTTCTTCTGGCAGAGTTCAGATATAGCATAATGTGTCCTTAAATAATTTAGTGGTTATATTTTTATGACTTCATTAGTATTACTCATTAGTTGGGCCAATGTTATGAGACTGTATTTTCTTTATCGGATACTTTTGTTTTCCCCAGAGGTAATCATTTTTGTTTGGTCACTTGATTGGTTCTATACTGGTCTTTAATTTAATGTTGTTTTCCTCTAGGAGCATAAAACTCCATTCAGAATGTTCACACGTTAGTTATCTGCTGGATTCATTTTCTTTGTTCTTTCTCTATCCTGCTCCATTCCTGACTGGTTGTTATTTGCAGCCGCTACACAGGGTGACCCTGATGTGTCCAATCACCATTAGCTTGAGAATTTCATTTCTCT